TTTTTTTTTTTTTTTTTTTTTTCTTTTTTATGCTTACACAGGTTTTATCTGTGGTTTTATCATATTGGTTTTGTCCTTGAGCTGGTTCTGATGATGTTATATTATAATAATTTTATGTTGTTAATTGGGCTACAGAAAAGAAGCTTAAATCAATCAGTTTTTCTTTTTCCCCCTTTTTATCAGCAAGTTTAGATTTATCCATTTTGATGGGGAATATAAATGGAAAAGAGGTGAAGGAGATTGAGGGAGTTGAGAGAGAGGATGTGGAACAGATCAGTAATGAGCAGGAAGAAGTGAAGAGAATTGCACCATGGACAAAGCAGATAACAATTCGAGGACTTATTGCTAGCTTAGCAATTGGCATCATATACAGTATCATAGTCACAAAGCTAAACCTCACAACTGGGCTGGTTCCCAACCTTAATGTCTCGGCTGCCCTTCTTGCCTTTGTATTTGTCAGAACATGGACTACGTTGCTTCATAAGGCTGGAATTTTTCCTACTCCATTTACTCGACAAGAAAATACAATAATTCAGACCTGTGCAGTTGCCTGCTATAGCATTGCTGTTGGAGGTTTGTGTGTTTCTGTCAAGTCTGGTTATTTTACCATCAAATTTTATTTTAAATTTATTAGTTAATGACAATTTACTTGAGATTTTGCTGTTCCAGGTGGTTTTGGGTCTTATTTGTTGGGTTTAAATCGGAAGACATATGAGCTAGCTGGTACTGATACGGTAGGGAACAATCCTGGTAGTACCAAGGAACCTGGGATTGGCTGGATGACTGGCTTCCTCTTTGTGAGCAGCTTTGTTGGGCTCTTGGCTTTGGTTCCTCTCAGAAAAGTATGTCCAATTACTTCTTCTAATTGTATCATGTTTCTGAGATATAAATTGATGATAAGTTATTCGTCAGTATCTGAATTGTCAATGGACTTCCTGTGTAACTTGGAATGATGTGGTCATGCAAATTTTTTTTTTTTTTTTGTCTCAGATCATGATAATAGACTACAAACTAACTTATCCGAGTGGGACTGCAACTGCTGTTCTGATAAATGGGTTTCATACTCCTAAAGGAGATGAGATGGCTAAGTATGAGTCTTCCAAGTTAAATTTTCTTTTGCTATTCAGATGAAGCATCAAAGTTCAAATTTGGGACAACTCAAACATTTAACCATCAATCTTGCAGGAAGCAGGTTCGTGCATTTATGAAATTCTTTTCAGTCAGTTTCCTGTGGGCTTTCTTCCAGTGGTTCTATTCTGGCGGAGATGCATGTGGCTTTGTTCAGTTTCCTACATTTGGTTTGAAAGCATGGAAAAATAAGTGAGTATTCTTTATACTTCTAGTTCTTGTGGCCTTACCAAATGTGGATCTTGCTGTCATTACTGACTACATGAGTTTTATTTTTGCAGATTCTATTTTGACTTCAGTACAACATACATTGGAGCAGGAATGATCTGTTCCCATGTTGTGAATTTGTCTTTGCTTCTGGGAGCAGTGCTTTCTTGGGGAATAATGTGGCCACTAATTGATGGGCTCAAGGGAGAATGGTTCCCAGAAACTTTGCCAGAAACCAGCATGAAGAGTCTAAATGGTTACAAGGTCTGCATAGAAGTTTGATACCTTATGTATGGTGGAGCAAAGCTCCTTATTTGCTTGTCATGAAAGGTTACCCATTTCTTTACATCTTTTGTGTATTTTGCAGGTTTTCATTTCTATTGCTCTAATTCTTGGAGATGGGCTCTACAATTTTCTTAAGATACTGTTTTCCACTGCTAAAAGCATCCATGATCGAATGAAAAATAATGGCCCCAAAACACGTAACAATCAACCCTATTGACTGATTCATTCATAGAGTCCTTAGAGAATAAAACCCTTAAATAACTTTGTTTTTGCACTCTTGCAGATCCTGATGTCCAGAACAAGTCTATTGATGATCTTAAACGGAATGAAGTGTTTGTAAGAGAGAGCATTCCATTGTGGGTAGCATGTGTAGGGTACACTGTCTTCTCTATCATCTCCATCATTGTGATTCCCTTGATGTTCCCTCAGCTAAAGTGGTACTATGTACTTGTTGCTTACATTCTTGCACCCTCTCTAAGTTTCTGCAATGCTTATGGTGCTGGTTTAACTGACATGAACATGGCTTACAACTATGGAAAAGTAGCACTCTTTGTGCTTGCTGCCATGGCTGGGAAAGAGAATGGTGTGGTTGCAGGGCTAGTTGGTTGTGGTCTGATCAAGTCCATTGTTTCCATCTCTTCTGATTTGATGCATGATTTCAAGACTGGCCATCTAACGCTCACTTCTCCTAGATCAATGCTACTCAGCCAGGCTATTGGAACAGCTATGGGCTGTATTGTGGCTCCTGTTACATTCTTTCTCTTTTACAAGGCATTTGATGTTGGTAACCCAAATGGCAAATATCCAGCCCCTTATGCCCTTGTTTACCGAAACATGGCAATTCTAGGTGTTGAAGGCTTCTCTGCGCTGCCCCAACATTGCTTGCAACTGTGTTATGGTTTTTTTGCCTTTGCCATAGCAGCCAACTTGGTAAGAGATCTTTCTTCCAAGAATGTACAGAAATGGATTCCTCTTCCAATGGCTATGGCTGTTCCTTTCTTGGTTGGTGCGTATTTTGCAATTGACATGTGTGTGGGGAGCTTGATTGTGTTTGCTTGGCACAAGCTAGACAAGAAGAATGCAGGTCTCATACTTCCGGCCGTGGCTTCTGGCCTGATATGTGGAGATGGGTTATGGCTTCTCCCATCATCCTTTCTTGCTTGGTTCAAGGTTCATCCTCCTATCTGCATGAGCTTCTCTCCAGCTAAAGGCTGACAGTATTTGCAATAAACCTACTATGATGCTTGATAGTTTTTTTTTTTTTTTTGATAGAGATGCTTGATAGTTAATAAACGAAGTTGCCATTGCACGTGGCAATTGGTAAAAACATAGCAGTTTAGATAAACGTATTAAAACTTCTATGACATTTACACTTAATAAGGGCAATTTTGCAAAAAGCCAATTATAAAAAGTAGCTGTTGTATCCACATCTGGGAATCAAAAGTCGTTTTCTTTGGAGTTACTTCAAGAACTTTTATAGACATAATAAACATTTATATCAAGATTGTTTCTCAATGTGACTTCTGTATGCACTAAGGTAACTTGAGCATATGTCAGTTTATCAATTACTGAGGGTTGTGTTTTATCTTTGTATAGAAATATAACTATTATTATTAAAGAATAATATTATTAATAAAATCTTCAATTTAGCCTGGAGGAATCTTATAAATAATTAAAAGAAATTGAGACCATTAAAATACCTTAAAAATACTCAATATTAGCATCCTTACAACTCAATCTGTTAAAAGCTCAAGCCCTTAAAATCCAAACTCTCATAAAGTACTAACATTACCCATGATGGTAAAAGTTATCACTTAAAAATTTACATGTACCGGGTCTCATTTCTAATCCAAAAAAGTCTATTGACAAATTACTTGGGTAATTAGTCTAAAATGGTAACCATAGTCCAAATTAGTAGTTTGTGCAGTGGACTTAATACATATCAGTACCCCTCTTTAGTTAGATTACTCTTGGAATAAAGCCGAAAGTGAATTAAAGCACTAACAGCTGCCACCCCAACCATTCCACAGTACACAGGCAATAGCCTTAAATAAGGCCAAACCCCCAAATTCTCTCCTAAATCAGAAGGTAAAAATAGACTCACTTTTTTTTTTTGAAAAAAAGATAAATTATTTTTTTAAATTATTGGTTAAAATAAATTACTTATTATTTAATATGTGACATTATTA